TACGCAAATTCATTGATCTTTTCAAATCTTTTTTCAAATTTCCAAAGTTTTGAAAATTTTCCGAGACTCTAAGAACAAAGTAAAGCCCCATTTTTTTTCACTTAATTGTTTATAACTTTTGTAATTTTTATCGGCGCATTTTCGGACCTTTCCTTAAACTTTCTAGGCAAAAATATGAATCGAATGACACCTTGGTCGTAATTTTTGGACAGGGCTGAAAAATGTTACAAAAAAAAGTACATGTGAACGACTAATGCTTCAATAGATTTATTTCAAATATTAAGTTTTGAGCAGTTTTTTCTTATGTCATTTTACCACTCAGCATTGGAACTATTTATTCGAAATAACATAATTAGAGAATGATTTTGAATGTTTTTTCAGGTTACTTCTGATTATCTGTTTGAAATTTAATGGTATACTCTCATTTTTGGATATTCTTCGCAAATGTATCTCATAACCTGATATAAGTCATAAAAAAGTGTACTCATGAGTTACGGCTCGCTCGTTAAATAATATACTATTACGTCGCATTCGGCAAAACGTTTTTTGAAGTAGTCACAGCCATTTGAAGTGAAAAATGAAGACCGCAATGAAATTTTTATCTAATACTCGTATATTGGTTCATGACAAAAATCTTACTGAAATATTTTGTTGCAGGATTCCCGAATGGCGTCCATTTTTTGGATAGCAAGCTCGATATGGTTACTGCTCTTTCTGCCAAAGACTGAAGCCCAAGGTAAGTTAATCAATAATAGCATAAACTGTTTCTTTATTCTAATCTGTACTCAATGATATAAACGAAAAGCAAGCCAGGTCCAAAATCGGCTGTTGTAATGCGGTTCCTTCAGGTCATGGTGAAGCTGAAACTGAGGCTAGTTTCGATACTAGTAGTATCAAACAGATTGTGGTTATCGGAATTGCATGCTGAACCTCCATTCAGCGATTCCAAGTTCCTGGAGAAACCCTACAAGGATTTGAAATGTCTACAGAATAGAGATTGATACTGAATGAAGCACGTGAAGTCATCAGGAGTTTGGATACTTTTCTCCTCTCTCCATGAGGAAATAGAAATTGAAGCTGTCTTTTCTTCCCAAGCAGTTCATAATGGTTTTCGATATAGAACAAGATCAAATTTCGTCAGCAATTTGGAACCTATTCACATATTCTTGTTCAGTGTCGAAAACTATACAGGGTTCACCAGCTGCTCGGGCAGCTGCCCTAAAGAGAAATGCTCTATTTCCTGCTCTCCCATGGTCGCGGACCATGCAAAGAAGTGGATCCAAACTCCTGACAACTTCACAGGTTCCATCCATTACCATTCTGTCATGTAGACACGCCAACTCAGAAGTCCACGGCCTCCCTGTTGTCGGAGGAAGTACAACAGTGGAACCGACGATTTGGTACATCATTTTTTGGGTCTTTACGTAGAGTTGATACAGCTCCTCCCGAGTCCACTTCACTACTCCAAATGAATAAAGTAAGATTGGAAAGGCAAGCATATTCGTTGCAGCAACTTTGTTTTCCCCAACAGTTCGGATTAGCAGATATGTCGAAGTGTGTGCTGATACTTGCCGCTGAAAGAGTTCTTCACTACTGTTACCTCTTGTGAACGGCATTGTCAAACCGCGAGGTGAGTATACGTCTCTCCAGCCTTCAGATGGTGCAGGATGCTTTCATCTATGAGCGGCACNTTAATATTAGGGGCTGAATCCCCCTTGCAGTCTATTAACTTTTATAAATCTCCATATGGAATCTATCCAGAGTATTATTGTTCATCACTTGACATATTTAGTTTTCACCGATCTCGTCAGGTTTTTTTGTGGAGAGGCGTTAAATATCGGAGACAATAGGAGTGATTTTACCCTGTTTATTTTGCTTAAGGCTGAATAGTGACTGCTCAATATTTTAGTTAGGCTTATTCTCACTACTTTTCTATTTCCGATTCTAGTCGATCTCAACAGGTTGTTGCCGAACACTTTTTCAAATATATTTCTGTGGGGGTGTCGACTTGCCCTTATGGCCTGATCTTTGCTATGAATCCCTATATGCATTTTAACGAGAGAGTTATACTGAATAATTTGAGTACAGAAAATTTTTCCGATCTCGTTCAGTTTTTGACAAACAGAAATTTATGTATATTGACAAAATAAGAACGAGACCACCCTCTTATTATATGAATGGTATTTATTTTTATGATATTTAGTATGTTATAAAAATATCCCTAGACTTTTCCGATGTGTGTATATGGTCTAAGATTTATGGTGAAAAAATCGAGCTGAAGTTAGAACTGACGAACGATTGTGAAATAAATATCCACCTGTGTTTATGATGATCCAATGTATCCGATACAGCGCACCCAATCGATAAACAAGATATTAAAAAAAGTCAGCGTGCTGTCAATACTTTTTCTTCGGACGATTTAGCAAGAATACGTTGAAAATAACCTGCTCTACAAGTTTCGTAGTAACGTCGTCCTACATACATTTCCTTCGACAACATTCGAATGCAGAACCATCGATATTTAATCGAGTCCGTGGGGTACAGGATGAGCGACTCGATTACAAGTTACAGGAAAAAATATTTTTTTGGTTTATGGACTTGTTTCCCACGTGATTTTTACTATCGAATAAATATTTTTACCGGTATTTACCTAGTTTTACAAGTTAATGAAATGAATGTATCCGCTATTTTCAGATGTGGCTGAAGTTAGCTTTAGATTTAAATCCGATTCTTTCGATTTTACAGTTGACCAGATGAATAATGCTCATAATGATAGTTTCTCGAAATATGTCTACTTCAATTATTAGGAAAATTATTTTTATAAATCAACAATTAAGGCAAAATTTAAATTATAGTTCAATACCACCTCCACAAGCCATATGAACAACAGTTGTTTTGTTATTTATGTATATAGAGGAAGATAGGTTAGGTGCTCAAAATGTCATATGTCACAGAATGTCTCGGAACATAAGTAAACAAAACACCACGCCTCTAAAATATGTCATCTTTGTTTGTCTCATACAGGAAACAGATTCATTGTCCTTTATCAGCTATAACCGATGTTGCCAAATGGTGAAATAGAAACGAATCCCTTTAAATGTTGAATGCATTATTTCATTACTCTTTTTTAGGTATTTAAATATTTTTCTAAAGAAAAAGGTTGAAATGATACGTTTAAAATGCGTTGTTTAAGAGCTCTTTTATGAAAACTACTTGATTTTCGTCAGTAAATACTTTTCGAAGTGAATTTTAAAAACTCATGAATTGAACTTAACTTTATTTTGTTCAAACTTGTATTTGCTTTAATAACCCAAATTGAAAAACATTCTCCATTGCCAATAGCAAATCCATAAATGAAATGCATGTCAGCCAACTCTACGTTGCTATAGCCATTCACGATAGAGGACTTTGAATATTAAACACAGAAAACACACAAACACAGAAACACAAATAAAAAAAAGTCAATCGGTTTCAATCTATTCGACACAAATTGAATGGCTGCAGCCGTTTGTAGTAATCGGAATGTTAGGTTGATGATGTGTTGATAGTCACATGATGGTCACTATCTTGCACTGACGAGTGGCTAATGAGCCCGAAACCGGTCTGCAAGTGTGCCCCTTCCAAAATTGAGGGTCGACTCTTTCAGTTGTATTGCCAATTGCTTATGCAGGAAATTTTCTGTGAAAATTCCTGCACTGACGTCTGTCGGATAAAATCCAACGCCCTTCATGGTATCAGCCAGGGGAGTAGTTGTTTTCTGATAGGCGTCAGTCCATTAAACCTACTGTGTAGGTATATTCGAGACTGGCTTGAACGTTTAAAGTTCATTTTGCTTTAGATTTACCAATAAAATTGTTAGATTTTTTAATGCTCGGTAGGTCTAGTGTAGTACGCTATACTTTTATTTCAGCTACGTTAATTATTTCAAAATTACCAAAATTGTTATTGTCGAAAATCTTTGTCGCCCCGTATCTTCGAAACAAAGCGCCCAATCAAAAATTATCAAAGGACAAAATATCTTTAGAATAATGCAAGGGATAGTCCTTTAATTGTTTGCCGCATAATTGTATATTTAGAACTAAAATTCCTATCGTGTTCTATGAAATGTGTTCTGAACGACCCGCTTTACGTATGCAAGCTTTCGACTTCGTAATAACCTCTATTTATCCGCATGCTTTCATTTTCAGGATTATGCGAAGTGGAAAACGGAGCATCGAACATCATTTTAGATATCGAGGAAAGTAGAGGAACGTGTAAGTATATCACTCTTTATTTTCAATAAGTCGATTGTTTGTACAAAGAAACGCTGTAACGGCAACAACGATTATTATTAATTGCGAGGAAAATGGGTCAATGGTGCACACACTTAGGAAATGTTATCGTACATATAAGGTTTTTTCGTTGATGTTTGTTGGCGTGTTTATCAAAATCAGCAATATTGCTTCGGTAGGTAATGGATTGAAAATGTCCGACTTTAAACCCAAAATTACGACTTTGAATACGACTTTGAACTCCAAATTTAGATTTTGATCTCAAAATTTTGACTTTCAATTCGAAATATCCACTTTAATCTCAAAATTTCGACTTTTTTCTCGAAATCACGAATTTCAACTAGGAAGGTACGACTTTGATCTCGAAATTTCGAGTTAAATTTCCAAATTACAACTCTAAACCAAAAATTTCAACTTTAATCTAGAAATTTCGACCCTAAATGCGGAATTACGAATTCAAATACGACTTTAAAATGCAATTTGTGACGTGGATTTCTTAAATTCGAATTTAAATTCAATATTTGGACTTAACCTCAAAATTACAAACTTGAACCCGAAACCTCGACTTTAATCTCGAAATTTCGACTTTAATCTCGAAATTTCGACTGTAATTTCCAAATTACGACTTCAAACTCATAATTTCAAAATTGCTCTGGAAATTTCCACCCTAAATGCGGAATTATGAATTCAAATACACTTTAAAATCCAAATTTTGACTTTGATCTCAAAAATTCGAATTTGAATACAGAATTTGGGCTTCAACCTCGAAATTACGAATTTGAACTCAATATTTCGATATTGATATCGAAACTTCGACTTTAATCTCAATATTCCGACTTAAATTTCCAAATTACGACTTTAAACTCAAAATTTCAACTTTAACCTCGAAATTTCGACCCTAAATGTGGAATAACGAATTCAAATACGACTTTAAAATGCAAATTTTGACTTTGATCCCAAAAATTCGACGTTGAATTTAAAATTTGGGCTTCAACTTCAAAATTTCAAATTTGAACTCGAAAATTCGATGTTGATATCGAAACCTCGATTTTATTCTCGAAGTTTCAACTCTGAACTCGAAATTACGACTTTAAATACGACTATAAACTCTAAATTTCGATTTTGAAATTTTGACTTCCAATTCGAAATTTGGACTGAAATCTCGAAATTTCGAGTTTCGAATCTCCAATTGCTTCAAACTTAAAATTTAGACATTAATCTTGTAATATCGACTTCAATACCGAAATTTCGAAAAATCTATTTTAAAATCGAAAAAAATTATCAGCGATTTGACAAAGTTTGACGTAACAAAAATAATTGTTGTGGAATAGAATTCGAAAAACGTGATATTTAGTTACCTCACCAATTCAATTTCAGAACTTTCTTTAGAGTTCTGACAACTCTAATGAATTAAGTAGATTTTGGTTTACCCAAAAAGTACCCACTTCCCGGACAGTTGCCGAAAAAATTATTTGCAATATTTTCAGCGTTCATTCGTATATTTTAGAAATAATTTCATGTTTTCTGTATTGAAAACAGCAAGTTTTGTAAAATTGGAATTCCTGGCGTCAACTAACAACACTTTTTCTACACCAGGACAGTTTGTGAGGCAATTTTTGAGAATGACATTCCACTAGCACTGCCTACAAGAAAGCCTTATATCGTTTATAACCAGCGCCCGGTTCTCGTGAGACAATATCGAACTGGTGCCTTATCTCAACATCGTTCAGCGACAAACACGTTCAATTCACAGAAAAAAAGCAATCAAATATATTTCCAATTCTACTCGTAATCATCAATGTTAGTTACATTGTTCCCTGATCGAAATCTCTCGGCATGGCTATCTGAATTGATCTAGTCAAACAATCCTGGGATTTTGTTTTTTTCTCGTGCCGGTTATGAAACTTGAAACATACTTTTTCTGTTGTTAACAATGTTGCGTTGGTTGTGTGAGGATTTATGTAATTGGTTGTGGTGAGAGTACATCTTTATTGAAAGAGGTCAGGATTAGAAAATGCATTTTTGTCGGAAGAATGCAGTCCATGGGAAGAGAGGTTTCGGCTTCTCACTCCATCTTTGACATTTGATCGAACATGGCGTATTTTTGTTTCGATGTCATTACCATCAAGTAAACGATATAGTGCCCCCTACCTTCCAGCAGTTCCCCTTTAATAAAATAGTTAGGGAGCTAACTGGAGAAAAGTACGGTGAAATAGATTAACAAGGTCTCTCAGTCAAAAAATCAAACTCTGCTTTACTTTACCAAGCTTTCGCTTCTAATGGGAAGCTTCTTCAGGGCCTATAATTTAATGAGTTGTGAATATTTTGCCATTGAATAACATTACAAATCATACTTACAGTAAAAATGATCGAAAAACAATAAATGGAACATATAAATTGACGAGAAAGTTATACATGTATAGGATTTTTTGTGGGTTTGACAAATGGCATACCTTCACATAAATGTAATTTTTCAATGGGTATGATGATTTCATAATTTTTGACTCCAAAGAAAGAGTTATTGATTGATACAATTTTCATTATTATTATGTTTCTGATGTAGTTCCAGTAAGTTACTGTATATACTGCTGAGATTATCAACAACAGTTTTCTTATTCATACAATCAGAGGATTTATTAATATCAACCATTTCAAGAAAAAGGCGTTTGGAAATATTTTTTTCTGTATGTTATAAATTTGTTGTTGTTATATATTTGTTGTGTTTTGATTTGTACTTGTTCCTCGATAAGTGATTTATGACTGTTAAATTTATGGATGTTCAAGTTTTCCCAAATGTCCATGCGGTTTTTCTTGTTGACTTGTTTTATGAGTTTTATGTTCTCTGGTGGNCTGAGTCTTTAGGAATCGAATCCAGGAACATCATATGAGCTATGTAAATAAGAAAACAAGTTCAACATATTCAAATCATCTTTTAGAAGAAAATTATATCTTTAACGAAGAGTTCGAAATTTCACACATAGAAAATTAAGGTTTGAAACTGAATCATTTGGAAGCAATGGAAATTAATAAACTTAAAAATTCAAACATTCTAATGAATGACCAACTAGATTTGAATAGATCACCATTATTGAATTTGTTTTCTCAAAAACCGAGAAAGAATTATTATTGATGTAGGTGTGAGGTAATATGCTTCAGGTGATCATAATTAATAAGGTACGTTAATTCGTTGGAGGTAGTCTCATTTATGGTTACCTGTAGTATATAAATATTAATGTTAAGCACAACTTGAAGTATGAATCCCTTGAAAAAGCTAATGTTTTAGCGAAACATGTTGTGATATATTTTTCAAATAAAGTTTGTGGAGATCGAAACGTCAGGTGTAGTTTTTTAAATTACTATGGATCTTCATCAAGTAACGGCCGAATCAATCTGAAAAAAAAACAAACTGAACAAGTTTAACGATGACGCAAGACACAATTCATGCGTGATCTGTCAAAAATAGTGTTGCCAAAAAGATTCCAGCAAAAGAATCACTCATTACGTCTCCAGTCAACACTGTTAGTTTCCTAGTACAAATGAGAATTCCTTAGTCTATCCGTAATTTGATGATTTGGTAGACCCTCATGCAAAGTCACTATTGCCAGACATAATTGCGAATTAGATATGAACCACTTTTTTGACATTGGTATCTGAAATTACAGGAAATTGTTAATTGTAAGCATTTTTGGATGCCACGGGTGAAAGAAATAAAAATCAAATGTACAATAAACCAACTTTAATAGATAT